TATAACCAAGCACTTGATATCACGTTGAAACACTGGTACGAACAAAGCCAGAAATATTTTTTCATCTTATAAGACACTTTTTTGGAGATAATAATGGTTTAGTGATATAAGTCTTACTAATTAACCCACAGCTGGAGAAAGAAGTGGTGGATTCCTATATTTTTCAAAGGGTGTTTGCATGTGAGTATATTGAACCCAATGGGAATTGAAATTCGCCTCTCCGAATAACAATTGGAAACCATTATCCATTACACCACCCACACATCCAATCTTATTGCACCTGTTATTCCCATCTACGTACTGACCAGTCTTGATGTTGCTTAACTTTAGAAAACAGGAACAACTGTTTGAATGTGATGTGGCTGTAAACCCAATTTTATTATTAAAACATCGGCTTGTATAATAACGAGTAACATAGTGTAGTGATTCTATGAAAATCAGTTTATTGCCTGATAACGATAGAAAAGTGGATCCCCCACTTTATATCCAGTAGAAACTCGGACTAATATTGAATGTAAATCTATCCTGAAAGTTTTGCTAATATCGGTTGCTTAATACTAATTTTATTCTGAAAGCATTGAATTCCATTATAGAATCTGATATAGTGTAGTAATTGTCGGGATATCTGTTTATAACTTAATAAGAATAGAAAACCGACCCCCCACTTAAGGTTCAGTAGATATAAGAAAACATTGATTGGCATAATAAATTCTGACACGGTTTATACACGTCAGGGTGCTGAAAGGTTGGCCTGACCATGTTTACAAAAATAATTCTGATGTTTGTTCACATTTTGGGAAGAAGAACACCTAGTGACATTTCAGCACTCTTTTTTTTTTAGGACATGATGAAGAACCATTCTGTGGAATAATAGAATCTCAGACCACTAAAATAGTCATTGTAAATGTTTATGATAAACACTGATATTGCACACTATATATATATATATATATATATATATATATATATATATATATATATATAAGGGCAGGATGTGTGCGTGTGTGTGTGTGTGTGTGTGTGTGTAATGAATGCACGGCCGCGCAATTTTCGACGGATTTGCGCCAAAATTTATATGCACATGCTCCAAGTTAGCGGGAAGGCCAAAACCGACTTTGCATTTCCCAACTCCCATCGATAGTGGAAATAATCGATGTTTTCATGCTTCTACGGCAGTTTTCATGTAGTTTGCGGCCATTTTCTACTGGCCAGAGTGAGAGCCTATAGCTGGCTGCCACTAATAGGCAAGAAGATTCTATTGGTCAGCGTGAGAGCCAACAGCTGACTGACACGAATGTTAACTAGCATGTTAGCATCCAGAAAAAAATCGACAGCTGCATTCGTCACAAGTGGGAAAAATTTAAATCTGCATAGCACTTTACTCCAATTGGCTCATTCGCTTGCTTAAACTCAACGTTGATTCTGATTCCGCAGAACTGGGTTGGGGGTGAAAAAGTATTTGTTGTTAACATTCTTTTTTCATTCGGTTTTTCCAGTTACGAGTCCTTTTTTAAAGCTGATCGTTTTGTGTTCATTTTGTTTAGTTCTTTTTTCGTAACAGATTTAATGTTTAGTATAGAGCTTAGAAACAATTCGCAGTGTGAGATAGGCAAGAAGTAAGGCATGTTGCAACATCAGTACGGCAAAGGGCACTCCTTTAAAGGCAAGGAAGGGCAAAATATTTTAAGTCAAGTGATAGCGATTGCTGTATGAGCCGTACGATTTTTTAATCAAGCACGGGCAACGCCGCGCCATGCTGCTAGTATATATATATAAAGTTTACCAATTTTGATTAAGAAGCGTTTTAACACATGATGGAAAATTGCGATACTGAAATCTGAAAGCGCATTGGGATAGCCAATGATACATTCCAAGTAAAATATTATGAAACAAAAAAATCCTTAGAAAAAAGAAGAGAAAAGAGTACTGAACTGTTACGTAATATCAGTCCTTCTATATAACAATGAATGATGGACAATCTCCTCACAGATGAAGAATACACTTGAAGCAAGAGAAACAAAGAAAAGAGTACTGAACTGTTATGTAATATCAGTCCTCCTATGTGGCAGTGAATATTGGACAATCTCCTCAGAGATGCAGAAGAGACTTGAAGCAACAGAAACAAAGAAAAGTGTACTGAACTGTTATGTAATATCAATCCTGCTATATGGCAGTGAATGCTCGACAATCTCCTCATAGATAAAAGAAAAAAGACTTCAGGTAACAGAAATATGGTTCTACAGAAGAATGCTGAAAATTCCATGGACTGACCAGGTGAACAATGACGAAGTTTTAAGAAAAATAAAATAAAAAAAAAAAACTCTTATATTCAGAATCAGAAAAAGACAATTTAAATTTACTGGGCACATTATGAAGAAAGAGGGCTTGGGGAATTAGACACTCTCAGGATATATTGAAGGCAAGACAAATAGAGGAAAGCAGCACATAACCCTTGTCTAATGAGCTTGTATAAATGATTGGCAGAACAGTGTTTAGGAGAGATAGCAAAAAGACAAACTTTAATCAGGGTTACAAAGGACAGAGCATTTTGGAGAGCCATAATCAACGATGCCCTGAAGGGATACGGCACACACAATGAGAAGAAGCCTTACGATGCGTAAAACAAAATATCTTACCTGTAGTATTATGAGTTATATAAGAAATTAATCTGATAGTGTATACAACCTTTCATTCTTTTAAAATTGCAAATTTGTAAGAAACTTGTGTATTGTGAATTGTTATAAAATTTAATGTAGGAAAGCCTGAAACCCACAAGGAATATTGTTTACGCACTGACACATAACCGCATATGCCGTGGTCACATGACCAGCGTCACATGACAAAGGGGGATTTTGAATTAAAAGAAAATACAAAGTAAAAATAAAGGGAAAGAAAGAAAAAAAATCCCTTCTGTTTCTTGTCATTTGGGTGGCATTCGTCCATTTTTTTTCACCCGACCTTTTGCGGCATGCCTAAGACATTACAATTTTCTTTTTTTGCGATCGAATTGAAGAACTGAAAAAAGAAAAAGAAAAAAAGTCTTCTCTTGGCAGAGGATTTCTTCATTTTGTTTTAAATTTTACTTTTATTTTTTGGCACAGTTTCTATTTTTCTTTTCTGTTTTTTTTTTCTTCCCCTTTTATTTCTGTTTTTCTTTATTCGATCATTTCGTTTAACATTGATTTTCATTCGATGAATTGATTTCCTGCGGGTTTCTTTTTTTGTTCAGTTTTTATTCCCCCCTTTTTCTAAATTTTTCTCTTTCATTTTCATTCCTAAAAAAAATTTCTTTCTTTTCACCTTCACTAGTAATTTTCTTTTTCATTTTCTTTCCAAATAATTGTTTCTTTGCAGCTTCATCTCGATTAAAATTTCAATTGAAATTCTTAGTAATTCTTTTATTCAGTCTTCACGCGTTCGTTCTTTACATTCTCACCACTAGTAATTCTTTCTTTTCATTTTCCTTCCTAATAATTCCTTCTTTCATTTTGTATTATTAGCAGTTATTTATTTCGATCTTCATTATGTGTAATCGTTTTATTGTTATTCTGCAGAATTCTTTCTTTCTTTATTCGTAGTTTTTTTCTTTTTAATTTTCTTTCATAATAATTCTTTCTTTGCCTCTGCATTCTGAGTAATATTTTCTTCCATTTTCATTCTTAGAAATCGTCACCTTCGATATTCACCTAGAGTAATTCTTTTCTGTTTTCCTTACTAATTCTTCATTTTTCCTTCATTCACATGAAATTTTCTTTGAATTTTTTTCCATTTTCACGCTGATGAATACTATTTTTGATACTCGTTCCATGCCTTTCTCTTTCTTTCTTTCTTTCTTTCTTTCATTTGCTTTCATTCAAGCATTCTTTTTCTTTCTTTCTTTCTTTCTTTCTTTCTTTCTTTCTTTCTTTCGTACTTTTGTTCCATTCATTCATTTATTCTTTCTTTTTCTTTCTTTCTGTCTTTCTTTCTTTGCTTCACGTTTCTATCGTATTTTTCGTTTTTCCTTACTTCCTTCCTTCCTTTCTTCTTTCTAATTTCAATCGTATTTTTATTGTGTTTTTCCTTCCGTCATTTTTCATCTTTCTTTCTTTCTTTCTTTCTTTCTTGCTTGCTTGCTTGCCTTCATCCTTCTTTCTTTACTTCTCTTCCATTCATTCATACTTTTTCTCTTTTCTTTTCTATCGTATTTTTTCTTTTTTCCTTCCTTCCTTCCTTCCTTCCTTCCTTCCTTCCTTCCTTCCTTCCTTCCTTCTGTTGTCTTTCCGACCGTATTTCTCACTTTCTTTCTTTCCATTTTCTTTCATTTTTCTCATTTCTATCGTAGTTTCATTGTTTTCTTCATTCCTTCTCTGCTATCATTCTTGTATCTTTCTTTCTTTCTTTCTTTCTTTAAATTGTATTTATTTCATGCTTTTCATTTTTCTTCCTTAATTTTCTTTTTTTTTCTTTTCATCTTTTTCCTATTTTGCCTTATTATTTAAATTCTGCCTGTCTGTCTGTTTTTCTTTCTTTCTTTGTAAATATCGTTTCTTTTCTTCTTCTTTTTATTCCTATCCGCCCCCGCCAATCTATTACATTCTTTTTACTCTATTTCTTACCATCTCTCTGTTCTTGCCCGATCTCTTTATTCCACTCTCTCATTTCTGTATCCGTCCCACAAAATCTTCTGATTTTCTCTTAAATATAATCTTTCTTTTTTTTTTTGGTCACTTTGATTTCTTTTACGATTCTTTTTCCTGCTTCTTTCAGAAATGACAGTTTTTTCCCCCCTTGCATTTTGATTGGGCTTCAAGACTTTGATTTTTCCTAAGTTTTCATTAAGCTTCAATTTTTTTTTTATCTCTTCATTAAAACAAAAAACAAAACAATATTTCTGCTGTTCACCTTTTCATCTCTTTACTTCCGTAATATTTCTGCAAACTGCACTTTAATTTCTGTTTCCTTTTTGTTTATGGGGGAAAATCTTTTGAACAACTGTTATTTGTAAAGCCGACATTTTGTTAAAGGAATGAATGTGAAAAAATAGAAAAGCTTCGGTGACAGCAAGGAATAGAAAAAAGGAGAAGAAAGAAAAAAGGAAGAAAGAATGAAACGAAGAAAGAATGAAACGAAGAAAGAAAAAAGAAAGAATGAAACGAAGAAAGAAAAAGAAAGAATGAAGCGAAGAATGAAAGGAAGAATGAAAAAAATGAAAGGAACAAAGAAAAAAGAATGAAGGAATGAAAGGATGTACGGATGATAGAAAAAAAGAAACAAAAAAGAAAGAAAGAATGAATGAAAGAAAAATGAAATGAAGAAAGAAAGAAAGGAAGAATGATTGGAAAAAAGTAACAATGAAAGCAAGAACGAAAAAGAAAGAATGAAAGGAAGAAAGAAAAGAAGAAAGAAAAAAGACGATGACAATGAGAAAATAAAATAAATAAGGAAAGAAAGCATGAAAGAAAACATGACAGAAAGAGAACAGAAGAAAGAAAGAAAGAAAGAAAGAAAGAAAGAAAGAAAGAAAGAAAGAAAAGAATTTCTGACTGCAATAACAAAATAGCTTTGACACTAATATGAAAAAAAAATCTGACTTAAAAGGTGAAACAAAAATGGATAACAAACATTATGTTGCAAGCGGGCAAATATTCTTTAGCCTGCCAACCGACAATTTCTTCTTGAAATTGCTGAAAGAAAAACATGGAATGGAACCAAAACGGGAAGAAAAATAAAATGAAGAAAAATATTTTGGAAAAAAAAGCAACTAAAATAAAAATAAATTAGATAAATAAAAGAAAAAAATCTAGAAAAATACAAAAAAAAAAAAAAGGAAAATAAAAAGGAAAAGAAAGCGTCATAATGAAAGGAGAGAAAAAAAAACAAGTTTGAATTTTTGAAGATTTTTTTGTTGGGTTGAATTCCAGTTAATATTGAGTGAATCTGCCATTTTTGATACGGCATCTTTTTTTTTCTTTTTTTTAAAATCGCATTTTATTTTAATTTATTTTAGTTTTTATGTTCCTAATTCTGGGAAGAAGAGAGAGGATAAAAATGACGTGGATAAAGAAAACTTGTGGGATAGTGAGTGACTGGAAGTGGCTTGTTAGGAGGGAGAGTGAAAGAAAGGGAGAATGTTTTGAAGAAAACGAAAGAGAATTAATGCGAAATTAAGGAAATTTTGAGGGCAGAATGAAAGAGAATGAGAGAATGAGAGAAAGACAGAAAAACACGTGAGACCGTGATTGGAAGAGAACTGTCTCATAGGAAGAAAAAATAGATAGATAGATAGATAGATAGATAGATAGATAGATAGAGAGAGAGAGAGAGAGAGAGAAAGAGAAAGAGACAAAAGAAAGAAACCTGCTGGGATAAAGAGAAAGTAATGAGAGAAAAAGAAAGACTTGGAGGAAAACATATGAAAAAGAGATGAGAGTGCTGTGATGTGAGATAGATAGATAGATAGATAGATAGATAGATAGATAGATAGATAGATAGATAGATAGATAGAAATCGAGAGAGAGAGAATGAGTGAGTGAGTGAGTGAGTGAGTGAGTGAGTGAGTGAGTGAGTGAGAGAGGAAACCGAATGAGAGTGACAAAAAAAGAAGACCGGTGGAAGAGGGTAGCATATTGGAAATAGAGAGAGAGAGAGAGATGTTAGAAGATGATGAGACAATGTGGATATTTTTTATTCAAAGCCATGTTTCGCTAGAGAACATCTTAGTAGATGTAAAGACTGATATGGACGGAGATAGATAGATAGATAGATAGATAGATAGATAGATAGATAGATAGACAGAATGAGATAGATAGATAGATAGATAGATAGATAGATAGATAGATAGATAGATAGATAATGGACAGAATGAGAGAGATAGATAACGAACAGAATGAGAGAGATAGATAGATAGATAGATAGATAGATAGATAGATAGATAGATAGAAAAACAGAATTAGATAAACGGATTGAGATAGATATGAACAGACTGTGATAGTTAAATAGATAGATAAACAGAATGAGATAAACAGAATGAGATAGATATATAGATTAACAGAATGAGATATATACATAAAAAATGAGATAATAAACAAAATGACATAGATAGATAGGATGACATAGATAGATAGATAGATAGATAATGAACAGAATGAGACAGACAGATAGATAGATAGATAGATAGATAGATAGATAGATAGATATGATAGATGAGATAATAGATAACGAACAGAATGAGACAGATAGATAGATAGATAGATAGATAGATAGATAGATAGATAGATAGATAGATGATAGATAATGAACAGAATGAGATAGATAGATGGATAGATAGATAGATAGATAATGAACAGAATGAGATAGATAGATAGATAGATAATGAACACACTGAGATAGATAGATAGATAGATAGATAGATAGATAGATAGATAGATAGATAATGGACAGAATGAGAGAGATAGATAACGAACAGAATGAGATAGATAGATAGATAGATAGATAGATAGATAGATAGATAGAAAAACAGAATTAGATAAACGGATTGAGATAGATATGAACAGACTGTGATAGTTAAATAGATAGATAAACAGAATGAGATAAACAGAATGAGATAGATATATAGATTAACAGAATGAGATATATACATAAAAAATGAGATAATAAACAAAATGACATAGATAGATAGGATGACATAGATAGATAGATAGATAGAATGAACAGAATGAGACAGACAGATAGATAGATAGATAGATAGATAGATAGATAATGAACAGAATGAGACAGATAGATAGATAGATAGATAGATAGATAGATAGATAGATAATGAACAGAATGAGATAGATAGATAGATAGATAGATAGATAGATAGATAGATAGATAGATAATGAACAGAATGAGATAGATAGATAGATAGATAGATAATGAACACACTGAGATAGATAGATAGATAGATAGATAGATAGATAGATAGATAGATAGATACGGATATCGATAGAGAGAGAATGAGAAAGAGGCGAGACAATGAGAGCAAAAAAAAAATGGTTATGCTTACAAGTGAGACAGAAACTGAAACAAGTCATCGAACAAGACGGTGGTACGGAACCCGGAGGAGGACGAGCAGCCAGTAGTTACTGCAAGAGTGCGACTGCAGAGCGGTGGGAAGGGGAGGGGTGGCTGTTTGTTTGGGGTGGGTGGGGAACTGGGCCGGGCGCGGGGTGGGGCGGTTCTGTTAGAATAATAACCACCCACTACCATTGCTTTCAAACCATCGATTCTCCGCCCTCATTTACACAAAGCTTGCCACCCGCCACCGCCCTTCCACACCGCCTTTCCCCATTCATCGAACTCAAACAAGAGATCCAGCCAGCGAAAATCGATCACTATTGACAATGTCTTTTCAGAATCTTATGCTGATTGGTTTTTGCTGGAAAAATTTAGGGTCGGGTGACGGAATATACCGTCGATCGATATAAAGAGGAATATCCCTTGTATTCGCTCAGTATTATTGTCCGATAATTTATGCATTCAGTAATACAGTTCAGTATATCGCATACTTGTTTTTTTTTGTTTTTTTTTTTTGAAGTTGCGAAGAGGCAGGCGAATTTGGTAAAAGGTGTTCGAGGTCGTTACAATGCTTTCCGGGGAGGTGGGAGCATAAACCCAACTCGACCATGTCCGAGAAGGATAGTTAGAATTTGCCGACTGCATCCCCAGAAGAGGTGGAAGCTTTCCTCCCAAAATGACGATAGATGGTATGGCGATAAACTATATACAACAGCAAGCCCTCTGATCGGGAGACTGGATATTTTGAGTAGCGTGGATCCACTTCTTCATTGCTGTTGCTCCCAGGCCCACCCATGGTTAGGGTCCTATCTATGGATAAATATGAACCCCCTCAAACAAGAGACTATAAAACTATGAAAGCACATTTTTACAGTAAAAATACCAGAATACATTTTTATATATATAAAAAGAAATATCAACAATACATTTTATTCGTAGTTAATGACATACAGTTGCGTTCAAAATATCTTTAGTTAAAAGCATAAAATTGTGTTCAAAATATTTAGATTTCGGTATTAAATAACACATAGAGGTTGATATGCCGGTAAACAAAATCTACCAAACAACAATACATATTTATAGTAAAATAACTGACAATACATTTTATAGTAAAATGACCAACAATAGATTTCATTTGTAGTTGAAGGTATGCAAATGCGCTCAAAATATCTATAGTTAAAAGCATAAAATTGTGTTCAAAATATTTAAGATTTCTGCATTAAATAATCCCTAGACGTTGATATGTCGATACCAATGTTCAACTTTTGACTCAAGTATAAACTCAAATGCTATTTATCTTATGTCTCAAGTATAAACTAGACCAATATTTACCTCTTAAACTATGTATAATCTCGACCATCAATTGTCTCGGGTATAAAATGGACGAATATTTCCAATCAGTCTCAAGTATAAACTGAACTGATATTTACCTTTTGACATATGTATAATCCTGACCACTAATTAGCTATTGTCTTAAGTATAAACTGGACCAATTTTTCCTATCTGTCTCAAGTATAAACTGGACCAATATTGAACTTTTGACCCATGTATACTCCCAACCAAAGTTTACCTATAGTCTCAACTATACACTGGACAAATATTTTTCTTTTGATCCATATATAATACCGATCCATCATTACCTATAGGCTCAAGTACAAAGTATAGGCTCAAGTGCAAAGTATAGGCTCAAGTACAAATAGGACCAATATTTACCTTCTTTCTCCCGTATAAACCCGACTAATGTTTTATCTTTTAACCAATCTTTACGTTTTTAATCAAGTATAAATTGGACGAAGATTTACGCTTTCACTCAAATATAAACTGGTTGATATATACTCAAGTATAAATCTGAACATATTTTAACTTTTGTCTCAAATATAAAATCTACTAATATTTTGTCTTGAGTATAAACCCTACTAATATTTATTTCTTGTCTCACATATAAACCCAATCAATTCTCCCCATTTGTCTCAAATATAAACCCTACCATGGATTACCTTTAGTCTCATGTATAATAAAAACCACATTTTGATATCAAATAATTGATCAATTTTTTTTAAGCGTTTCACCTCAAGCAAGGCGGGGACTCACTAGCACGCAAGGGGTTACAGAGAGTTGGAGCGAGAGCAAATAGCAGTGGTAGAGGAAAGGATGAAGAGAAGGCATCTGGAGACGTCGATTGACATTACATTTGAATAGTTGGAGATTATAGCTATCAGGGAAACAAGAAATAGGGAGGGAGTTCCACAGGCAAGAAATGCGAGACATGAAATTATTGGAGTAGAAGAGACGGTTACATTTATCAGTTTCAACAGTGAAAGGATGAGAGCGAAATGCCAGCCTAGTAGAACGCTTAAATTCATGAAGTCTGGGAACCAGCGAAAGCAGCTCATTGGAGCAGTTACCATGAAAGTATTTGTAAAAAAGACAGAGGGAGGCAACGACACGTATTGTTATGTTGTTAAAAGTATCAACCTAACTTCATCAACTCCACCCTGTAACCAGTCCTATCGCTGGTCACCATGACAATGATTCTGTCAAGAAAGGAATGGCTGAATATGCGAGACATTCAACTCCTATATGTATTTACTAAACTTAGCTTAGTCTGGTAAATGGCCATAAACGTAGGGAGCGTTTTGAACGTCGAACTCACTGCAGTAGTACAAGATTGCTATCAACAGCTCCATAGCGTAGTACCATGTGTAGCTTAGTATTCTTTTATAATGATGTTCACGCTGTACAAGGCCAGAGAGCCACTCGAGGTAGAGGGTTACATAATAAGTTTATGCGGGTATGTGGGGAAGATAACGGTTAACCCTAGACTTGAAAAGGTTAAGAGTGCAGTGATTGCGGATGCATCCATCCTCTTGGGAGTTGGTGCCACAAAACAGAGGTTTGTTGGAAGAAGCTGCTCGAGAGGAAATCATATTTCATCAATTCAGGGAATGTGGGTGGTTTGCTACAATGGGCGTGGCATGATGTCCCAACTCTAAACGTATGGCTCACCTAATGATTATCGAACTTATCGAATGGTAATTATCAGAAATGTCAGAGTTTTATAAGCAACTGAGCTTATAATAGTTCCACGGCAAAGCCCAGTGTTTACAAAACTTACAGTGGTCCAAGGATATAATTGTAGGCTAGACAATGAGGATTGAATAGATAACGTTTGTGAATTAGCCACTGAGATGTGGTTTAATATTCTGTTATTGCAGGCGCCCACTCCAATTGTCTATAAATATTATTTGTGCAGGCAGATGCCGAGAAATAGCAGTTGCATCTGTTGTTAGCCTTGACATATGGAGGTCAGTGGTTCCATATGTTATATTGAGCAATATTATCGACTTGGAATATTATCGATTTACCGATTGAGCTTTGAGTGAATTTGTCTGCGTTTGAATATAATATACTGCGAAGCTATGACATTAGCACGAGAAACCGTATTTCTAGTGGGATGGATTCTTTGACTATATCGCGACTCTGTCCAAAGAAAACAGGAAACTTTAACAAAAGGAGTTTTTACGCCTTTGCAGGTTATTTAAAACCAGAAAATATTTTCAGATTCTGAAAATTCTTGAGAGATAATCAGTAACGGATTTATATATCAATAGAGGAACCCCTAAAGGCCATCTAGTATAGAGCCTCTGATAAAATTTGAAAAAAAATAAAGATATAAGAACAAAGAAGATGTGTTTATTTTCAGATTTAATTAGGCGCCTTTAAACTAATTTTAAACAATCTAGATTATTTAGGCCCCTAACGATGGAGTGGGGTCCTTTAAATTCGATGCGGCCCCTTGAAGTCATTATCTTTCATTACAATGTGATACAAGAAGTTGTTCTTGACACTCTAATCTACGTCCTGTATATGACGATAAACTACATCCGCGTCCTGGGTAAGACGATAAACTACATCCGCGTCCTGGGTAAGACGATAAGCTACATCCGCGTCCTGGGTAAGACAATAAACTGCGTCCAACAGCAAGGCCTCTGAGCAGGAGTTTTTTTAGAGGAGCGTGGAATCACCTCTTAATTTCTGATGTTCCCAGGTCCACCTGACCCGGAGTGGTAGCATCTGTTAGGGTCCCAGCTATGGGCAAATAGTTACCCCCCCCACAAACTCTGGTCAAAACACTATGAAAATTTAAAAATAGGTTTTAATACATTTTTGAAAAACAAATATTACCAGCAATACATTTGTTGAAAAAAAAATATTACCAGTGAAGGAAAATTCTTACCAGAAATAGATTTTTGAAGGAAAAAATATTACCAGTAATACATTTTTTGAAAATTTTTTTACCAGCAATAAAAATTGTTGGCATTAAATAACCCATTGAGGTTGATATGCCGTAAAACAAAAGAAAACCAAGCGAAACAAAACCAAGTGAGTAATTAAAAAAACAAAACAACTTTTTTTAAGAAAATCAAACCATCGAAGATTGAAAATTTCTTAAAAGAATTTGGATTGTACTCAAAAATATGAGTAATTGAAAAATGGTTCAAATATATATGTACACATATACACCTTTTTTTTTTTACCAAACTATCGCTATGAATCTATTTCAAAATTTTGTTGGCATTAAATGATCCACTGAGGTTGATATGCCATAAAACAAAAAACAAAAACCAGCTCTCTAATCTCAATGGTTTAGAAATACTAGATAGCTTGCTTACTGTTTGCCACTACTTCTTTTAGCTTAATATGCCCTGTGAGTGTCAAATTCACTAAGGCCTCTTTCCTCATTATGTGTCCCAGGAATTTCAACTGTCATTTTCTGTTTCAATCCGAAGGCGCTTTGGGAGAGTGATTGGTGCCTTCCAGAATCTAAGCAAAGTATTAAGAAACAGGAAAATCTCTATAGAAACAAAAATAAAAAAGAATACTTATTTCTTATGCAATATCGGGCCTTCTATATGGCAGTGAATGCTGAACAATTCCAGATGTAATGATCTATAGGCGTTAAATCAGGTGAACTAGGAGGCCAAATTTTAGCGGTAACATGAGGAAAGGATGAAGAGAAGGAGGGGGAGTAGGTCATTTAGAGATGTCGATTGGTATGACATTTGAATATTTGGAGATTATAGCTATCAGGGAAGCAAGTAAGAGGAAGGGAATTCCACAGACGGGAGGTGCGAGACATGAAGCTATTGGAGTAGAAGAGATGGCTACATTTAACTGTTTCGACAGTGAAAGGGTGGGACCGAGATGCCAACCTAGTAGCACGCTTAAATTCATGCAGTCTGGGATCTAGCAAAAGTAGCTCGTCGGAGCAGTTACCGCGAAAGTATTTGTAGAAAAGACAGAGTGAGGCCACGGCGCGTCTGTGAGATAACGACTGTAAACAAGTACATAGCATATCCGTCTCTGGATTTTGTCGAGGACCTTAAGACAAACAGCTGGGGCAACAGACCATATATGGCAGCAGTATTCCACGCAAGGGCGAATTGTTGATTTATAGATTTTTTTTTTGCTAGTGATATTTGAAGACTAGAATATATTTAGAAAGAAGAGCCTGTATTAGACTGAATTTGAAGACTAGAATTTCAGTCTAATACAGGCTTTTTTTTCCTAAATATATTTCTGTCAGGTCTAAAGTTCGGATAAAATAATATGAAATTGCTAAAGAAATAAATTGGAGGTGTTCCAAAATCATTAAAAAAATATTTACACCAAAAACGTATCGTCTAAAAATACATCATTCTTTAAAAGACTCGGAGGGCGAATATAACTAATGACTGCTCTCCCAACTTCTATCAGCTCAGGGGCTTCGTAAGACCTAAATCCTGCCCTACCGACACATGGAACTGATAAGCAATGCCACCTCTTTGATTTTCAACTTGTCGGTGTTACCCTCGATTGCTGAAGGAATTTGGCATCTCTGTCAATGTCTGACAGTTTAGAATATTTTTTCTTCTTTTTGCCACTGAAGGCATCTTATTGCGGTAGGCATAAAGCTTTTTTTCTTATCTGAATCACGAGGGACATGGAGAGATTTAAGAATGCCGAAAACTCCAAAGTGTCTTTGTGGCTTTACTGCCTTGCTTGGGGTAAATTCGTTTTAAAAGGCTATGGTGATCTCGGATTACAAGGTTGCAGCACGTCATAATTTTTATTCTCCATCATCATTATGCTTTAGAGGATGTTTTGCTAGTGATATTTGAAGACTAGAATATATTTAGCAAGAAGAGCCTGTATTAGACTGAATTTGAAGACTAGAATTTCAGTCTAATACAGGATTTTCTTCCTAAATATATTTCTATCAGGTTAAAAAATAATATGAAATTACTAATGAAATAAATTGAATGAGTTCCAAAATCATTAAAAATTTTACTTGAAGTATCTCACGTTTGACATCTCAAAAAGAATCATTTAAAAATATATCCTTTTTATAGACACTGGGGGTCAAACATACGTAATGAAGGGACACCCAAATTCTATAAACCCAGGGACCTAAATTCGGTCCTGGAGATAACGATAACCTGCTGGTACAAGTCCTGCGAATTAAATCTTAGCTGGTGGTGTAGAAGGAGAGGATTCATATTTTCCCAAGGGTATTTACGCATAAGTAATAATGAACCCGATTGGAACTGGAACACGGCTCTCTGATTTCCAACTCTGTGACGTTATCCATTACACCACCCGCACATACACACACTTGGTATTCACAAGCGGTCACCCATTTGGGTACTGACCAGGCTCGACGTTGCTTAACTTCGGTGGAATCTGATTACAACAGGACATATATATATATATATATATATATATATATATATATATATATAAGTTATGAAGAACTTGGTAAACCCAATGGGTAATTCCAAGGAGGATGGAATCCTGAGAGCTCAATGTGAATACAGAGCTAATATTTAATGAAAAACGGACCACTTTAAGGTACCATTACAATAATTTATTTCACCAAAATCCTTTTAAAGGACTCCGGATCATCAGGTAACACTTCCAACAACGAAATGAAAGGAAAAATGGCATCCCATTTTTCCTTTCATTTCGTTGTGTGGTCTGTTTTATATATTATATATATATATATATATATATATATATATATATATATATATATATATATTGATTGGGGCAGCAAATTATTATTCAAACATATACTGTTAAATATAACAGATACGAATGTCTATTATGTTTGATCATGAGTCGTTCTAAGCTTCGTATTTTTGCTTTAATTTCGAGAGAAAATAAAGAGAAAAACTCTCCAACAATTGCATATATTTTTTATTAAACTGTTCCTCGATCTAAGCTTTCGGTTCACGTGAACCACCATCAGAGTGGTTAGAACAGAGATATTCACCATCAAAGATGATATCCTGTTCTTGTTCATATATATTCTACAGCAATCCAAACGCGTTGTTTAGCGCGGTAAAAAAAAAGGAGGAAAGTGACCCGGTAGAATCTCCTTTATTAACCTGTTTACAGACTGCTACTGTATCTTGTTTCGAGTTGTCTGTGTTTGTGTTTTGTTTTCCTGTCTTCTTTCTCTTTCTAAATGTGTCATCCATCTCTTATTCTCTTCTATTTCTGTAACAGGTTCTTTTTCTATATATTTCTTTTTTTTTCTTTCTCTGTCTCTCTCCCGCTGCTTTCTAATCACTTGTATGATAAACCTCCAAGGGAAAATGTCTGAGGTAAGTGTTAAGGTTAGGGTTTGGTAATTTTTCGTCGCATTGTTAGTTTGTATTTATTTTTGATTGCGTTTTTTTAATTTTTTTTTATTTTGTCGCATCGTAATTGACGACCTGGGCAACCTACAGGAAAATTCAGATCTGAAACTCTTTATTAAATCGACGTGGTTAGAATGTTCTCTTTCCACTGCCCACGTTTTCGGATATCTAGTCCTGTTCTTTATGTTCTAGTTACTTCTCAGTGATTACTCTCCAAGTACACACTGCTTAAACCAGGCAATGATCTCACAGTTATTATGTCACGGCTGTCTATTGACCATGGTATGAATCTGTCCTTATTAGGAAGCGGTTAATATTACTATTACCCTTAAGAAAATATGGTAGGACTTGAACGCGAAATGCACTCCCGCAAATAACACGAGAGAGTTATGGCGAGATATCTATATATAAAATTTAGTGACTTCCGTCCGTCTGTCACAATACCGATGCATTGACCGGTCGAAACCAAATTTTAGGGAGAAGTGCAAACAGATAAGGGAGTACAAAATACAGTTGGTTTTACTAGGGTGCATAGCTTTGTCCAATAAATTTTCATTATATTTTTTAAAAACATTAAAAGTTTGATTATTTAGCATGCAAAATACTCCGACTATTTTAAAAATAATTTAACAATTCAAATAACAAACACTAATTTTATAAAAATGCAATATTGTTTGTTGCATGTCTTTTATTTAAGTTTATTATGTATACAAGAATCCAGTTTCCAGTTCGCGATGCGTTTGCGAGAACTATAAACAAATCACAAGGCCAAACGCTTCAAAAAGTTGGAAATAAATATTTACGCATGGCCAGTTGTATGTTGCATGATCAAGAGTAAGAACTCTTAAGAATTGATTCCTCGCCGTTGAAAAGGAAAAAAGAATTAAAAAAATATATTGTTTACCATGAAGTCCTATAAAATTAAATTATTAAACAAAGAATTTTCCAAGTATTTTTGTTAAAGTATTTTTCAAACAAATCAGCTCATTCAAATTTTATCGATTGGTTTGAGAAATTGAACGAAACGTAGAGTTTGTAAATCTCGATAAAAATGTTAGTGATAATTTCAACAATACTAAATGCTGTGAAGATCTCAACACGCGTCCAACACGCGGGTTGCAAAAAAATCTAAATACAATGGCCCTAACGTGACAGAATATCATATTATATTCTAGAAAGATATTAAGCTTTTTGAGGATTATATAATGCGTCAGCTTGCATTATGTCTCATGCGAAATATATATATATATATATATATATATATATAATTGGAGAAAAAATACGAAATCCCATCGATAAAAAAAAAAATACGTCGATAAGATCATTCGATTTCGCTTGCGTGATTTTTGCCAAGGCTTACAGGGAATCCCAACGGCCCCCGTACGATCAGCGAAGTTAAGCAACATCGAATCTGATCAGTGCTTAGATGAGTGACAACTGGAGAATACCAGGTGCTGTAAGCTGAGATGTGTGGGTGGTAGAGATTACGGCCGTATCAGGATGAAACAACGGTCCCCATACGATCAACGAAGTTAAGCAACGTCGAATCTGATCAGTGCCTAGATGGGTAACCACTGGAGAATGCCAGATGCTGTACGCTGGGATGTGTTGGTGGTATGGATTACGGCCACATCATGCTGAAAAAACGGTTCCCGTACGATCAGCGGAGTTAAGCAACGTTGAACCTGATCAGTACCTAGATAGGTGACCGCAGTGGAATACCAGGTGCTATAAATTTGGAAGAGCGGGTGGTGTAATGAATAACGGCTTGGAATTGTTGATCGGAGAACCGAGTTCCAATTCCAATCGGGTTCGTTTCATTAACTTACACGCAAATGACCTTAGGAAAGTCATGAACCTTTTCCCACTCCAGCTATGGGTTAATTAGTAATACTTGTATCATCTATTTAACCAACCCAAGTAACAGCATCTGTTGAAGTCTTTGTCAACCTTGACGGGGGCCAAAGGAAATAAGAACGTGAACGGAAAAGGAAATAAATTAATCTAACAATTAGGAAACGAAAGATAATTAAAGGCAACTGTAAAAACATCATGGCGGGTGTGTCCAAAATTTTGATGTTCTTGCTATTTTCTGCTTTCACTGAATATTTGCATGTTATTAAAATGACGTACGGACGAATAGAAGATGGCGTATGCCCTTTTCTCAGTTACCGCCAAAGTAATTCTGTATTTCGTTGTGGGGAAGGTTAGAGATAAAAGAAGAGAAAAGAAAATTATTTTTTATATATATATATATATAGTATAAGGTTAAAACGAAAGGAGGATAGACAAATGAAATCGAAAAAGGTCGAGTAACATAGTGAAAGCTTTAGGGGGAAGACGAAAGAATTTTCTGCCTATTTTTTTTTATATACTTCTTCATCAAATACAAAGACCAAGTGTCACATAATTTAGAGGCAGGGTCGGATTTAGGCCTTAAAAAATCCCCCTACACACAAGCCACCAATCTGCCACTTGGTGGCAGGCAACTAGCGTTTACCGCTGGTGGCCCGCAGTCGGATCACCGGCGTGTTCGTTTCGGTAATGTTACCACTGGCAGACCGTCGGTGGCTGCCAACAGAGGACAGCTTGCGTTGACCTCGGCGGCCTACCGACGGGTCACTAGCGGTTTGAGTGTAGAGTGGCTTGATAGAATTTACTCCCCACTTCATTACATATACTGCCCTCTTCATGTCTATAAAAAAAAAAGATATTTTAGATGGTGCTTTTTAGATGTAAACCATGAAACACGTCAACTAAACTTTTTAATGATTTTGGAACTCATCTAATTTATTTCATTAGCGACTTCGTGATATTACTTATCAGGACTTTAAATCTTACAGAAGAAAATTTATATCTAGAATCAGGGGCCTATTTTACATTGACATTCTAGTGTTCAAACTCAGTAACAAAGCTCCTAAAAGCATAAAGATGACGGAGAAAGAAAATTCTGGCTTGTTAATTAAGTGACCCACTCCAACTACAGGGGCCCAAATATTCTAGATTCATTCAAATTACTTCAAAGGAACCCTTTAAATCTGAAAATAATCAAATCTCCTCCGTTATTACATCTTTATATTTCTTAAAATTTTATCAAACTAAATGTCGGTTTGGGGGTGCCTGTAGTTTTTTGTGTCTGAAGCCTATGATATCCCATATACAAAGGGTAAAGGGTTGCAGAATAAGGTTCTTGTAAAAGCATAAAGGGAGGACTGCATGTTATGAGAATATGAAGGATAGAAAATTAACCAGATAATGGAAGACAATTTTCAGTAAGAAGCATGAGAAAGAAGACGTGGAGAATTTAGTACTTGCATGGCTAATTGAAGGTAAGAGAAGCGGTGGGGAGGAATCAGCGATTTTTTTTTAAATAAATAGAACATCCAATAAAAAGCCCAAGTGCCACTCAAGGTAGAAAGTTAATGAATAATATTGTTATATGAAAGTAAGACGAGGCGGTAAGATATACAGATTATGAGGATAGAAGGCCTAAGCGCCGCTCAAGGTAGAGGGAAACAATGAGAACGTGGTAAGGGTGTATAGTGTACTTTATGGGGACATATCCTGGTAGATCCTAGACTTGATGAGGTTAAGATCGTTGTAGTCAGGTAAGCATCCTCTCGGGAGTCTGTTGCGCATTGAAACTTACTTCTTACCAGTAGAATATGAAGAGCAGGAGAACGAGACGATGTGTACGTGGCATGACGGGTCCTAATGGTGAAGGTCTGGACTGGTGGAACTAAGGAATGTAGTTTGCCTGGACCTCTACCATGAAAAATGAGGGAGAGCAAACAGTGAGAGGCTAGCAACGTTTCATCTGTTCTTGAAGGATGGAGACAAATTCCTCACCCACAAGGCCGCGCCGACGCTCTTGAGCTCGGTTAAGGCTGGAAAGTGAAGATTATGAGGGAAATATATGTGATTGACCCAAGCCTTGAAGAAGTTGTGTCTGACAGAATGGGTGGCATAACAAGGAAAAATGCGGCAAGACGCTGTGAAGAGTCATGATCATTCACTTTCTGAAAGAACATGGCATATGAAAAACGAAGAAATCAGCTTCGTACTTACTGGCTACCTCACTATTACATCCTTGTGCCAGTCTAGAACAGTCTTAAATATTTGCGAAATAGTGTTAGGCTTGTTTGTGAGACATCATCTAGCTAACAAGCGGTCCATATTCATGACCTTGTGTCATACTTATCTAAGTATTAGTTTAAGATGTAGATAGTTTTCACCCAATACCAAAAAATTTGAACCATGTTATTAAATATCCTAGTCAGATTCCGTCCTGGGTAAGATGATAAACGATATAGTGTCCTGGATAACACGATAAACTACGTCCAAAAGCAGGAGGAGGGGTTTGAGGAGCGTGGAACCACCTCTTAATTGCTGGTGTTCCTAGGTTCAAACTGAACCGGGGTGATACCATTTGTTCGAGTCCCATCAAACTGGGATCAAAACACTATGAAAATGTAAAAATAAGTTTCAATATCAGCAATATATTTTTGAAGGAAAAATATTACCAGTAATACATTTTTGAATGAAAAAAATATTATAAGGAACACATTTTTGGAAAAAGTATTACCAGCAATTGTCGGTATTAAATAACCGATTGAGGTTGATACGCCAAATAAAACCAAACGTAGTCAGATTTAGACTTTTATATGGATGTCATACAGGGATAAACACGTTCAGAAATATTTAAACTCTCAGCTATACAACCGCTATCTAAAATTAATGGTTAAAAAAGGTTTGTGTGAGTAAAGCCTGTAGGTTTAGATGCGTAAATATCTTTTTAACTTTATGGAGATGGGCTACAAAAGCACGAATAAAGAACTGTACCAAATAACAAAAAACATCACTGATATGTATATCAAGCTCTTGATAATAACGGTGAAGCTCAAATTGTGGCTCTTGATATCTTGAAGGCGTCTGACAGTGTTTTGCATGCTGGTCTTATATGCAAATTCCAGGGATACAGTATTACAGGACGATTATTTAATTTAATCCAACTCTACCTACCAAATCGTGTAATGAAGGTCGTTTTAAATGGGCTCGCTTTAGATCCTTTCACACGCGGGTGTCCCCAGGGCTATATCCTGGGTCCTAGGATGTTTCTGATTATCAATGATCTTTCTGGTGTCATCTGTTGCCAAATAGGTATTTAAGCAAAAGAAACTACTATTTACTCTTTATTCAATAGCAAACCAGTCAGTGTTGACGTAAAGCTGGCTGCCGCTCTTAAGGAATTCCAATCAGTGGTTAACTGGGGCAAGAAATTGCTTACACATTTTAACGGCTCAACCCCCCCCCCCAAAAAAAAACGTTCTCATTTAATTCAGAGAACCTTTTCTGTCTGCCATAAACATGGCTGACACGAGACTCCTGGAGAGCAACACATTGCGCCTTTTTGGCCTCACGTTTTAAACTGACTTGAACGACAACATCGAATCAATAGCTGTATCTACTGCAAGGAAAGTTGAATTACTGTGTCGTGCCAGAAGTTTTTTCACGTCAGAGTCCATCTTGCACATTTACAAATCTACCATTCGTCTGTGCATTGAATACTGTTGCTAAATCTGGTTTGGTTATCCTGCAATTCATCTGGAGGTTCTTGACAAAATCCAAAGAATGATCTGCAATGTAATCGATCGTGACTTGGAATTTCGATTTTAGTCACTTTCCAACTGATGTGACTTGGCTTCCCTCTGTTTTATCTACAACTATTTTCAGGGTAGGTGCTCTGGCGAGCATTTCTCCCTGGTGTTCCGACGACATGAATTTAAGTGGGCTGCTAGAGTGTCATCTAGGCCACACCCATTTAATGTTGAAATATCTAAATGCAATCGCCACTTCTACTTCAACAGTTTCTTTTCCCGCACTTCCCGCCTGTGAAACCTCCCTTCCGTTTACTTGCTTCCATTATTATTAAAATCTTCAAAAATTTAAATGCAACGTCAGTCGTCATCTGTCTTTCTGAATCTCGTTCATCTTTTATCCTTTCTTCAATCACCACCCCTATTCCCAGTCTTTTATAACACCTTTACTCTCTGTAACCCTCTGCGTACTAGTGGGATTCCTGTCTTGCTTGGAGTGAAATGATTATATATATATATATATATATATATATATATATACAATATATAGGATTGGTGTATACGGAATAGATTCCAATAACCAACAAATACTATTCTTAAAAGAGTGCTCAATGCAGAGTAGAGCAAATGTAATTATTTATTCGAAAATTTTAACATAAATATGTTATAAAATCACTACAAAAATAGCCGTTTTGTTTCAACACTTCTGAGAGTATCTTATCAAGTGATGGTGTTTGAATATAGAATCTATAGTTCTATATTCAACACCATCACTTGATAATATATTTATGCTATAATTTTCGAATAAATAATTATATATATATATATATATATATATATATATATATATATATATATGTATATAATAATCGCACATATTAGTATAAGAAAAGTACAAATAAATAAATTGTATCGCATACATTTTATACCTCCTCCTTCATCCCAGCATTTCTTCTGGCGAAATGGTTAAAAAAAAGAGGAAACAAACCTGAGAACTTTAAACAATGGCAGCAACTGTGAAAGATATCACATGTAACTGGAAGAGGGAATAATGACATTATCAAGATGTTGACGTTCCGAAGGACTTCAAACAAAAAGTTAGGAAGGCAACACCCATCAATACTGAACAGAGCG